AAATGAGATAAAAATAGTAATAAAATAATAGCATAGAAAACGCGTCATTTAAATGCAACAATAATATAAGACTAGTAATAAAATAATAATATTGCAAAAATGTTTTATGTTAAAAAGCAAAAGTAATTGAGTAGAATAAATCTATTTACCATGTATTGATAACGAAAATGACTCATCTGAAAAACAGTAACAATAAAATGGTCTAAAACTAATAATACTTAATAATATTGAAGATTACTAATTTTATCTCATTGTTACGTTTTAGATGAAGCATTTTGACTATTATGATTTTCTTACTAGCTTTATGTTATTGTTGTTTTCTAGATGATTTATCTTCACCATTATTTTTTTATTTTAGTTTGAAACCATTTTATTCTCCTTCCTTTTCAGATAAGATATTTTCGATATTATTATTTTATTATTAGATTTATTCCTTTCAATGACTCTTTCTTTTTAGATAAAATATTTTCAATGTTATTATTTGATATTTTGTTTGACTCCATCTCATTATTGTTACTTTTTCTGTTGAACATTTTCAATACTATTATTTTATTAGTATTTTTGCTTATTATAGTGGCTTTTTCGATTAAGCATTTTCAAAATTATTATTGTTTTATTACTAGTTTTACCCCATCTAGTTACTGTTGAGTTTTAGATGATGCATTTTCATTATGATTTCAATAATAATTTTACACTTATTGTTGATTTTGTAAATATATTCAGCCTCGACTGGCAAACAACGCTTAAATCAGTAATAAGTGTCTTCTGATGAGATGAAGAAATCTTACGGAATATGAAGTAAAACGCCTACTTGATATTATCTTAGAGCAGGGGATCACAACAGGAGTGAATTTTGGATTTTCAGGGATGAATTGTGACCACAGTAACTTTAGGTGGGGAGGTGAGCAGTTATAGAATTTGGCCTATCTGGCCTGTCACCTTGAAAAGGAGGTGGGAATGGCATTCTGCCAAATGGTCAAAGGTGTACATGAGGCAAGCAAGACTGAGAACACTTGTCTTAGAGCAACCAAACGATTTTTGAAAATATTTGAACCAAGATAAAGGCATTGAATTTGGGGTGGATTGAATATACGAGGTTTCTTTGCAAAGCATCGAACCATCTTGCACATCTCCAGAGCTTGTTACGAGGACTTGGTGGGAAGATGCAAGTTTTCGGAAATAGAATAATACGTAATGTTATAATAAAACTTTAATGAAATTCTAATTATTACAATGATATAGTGATATAAAAATGTGATGTATGAATGTAATATAAAATATGATGTAGAGTTGTGCTGAAAAGTTCTCATCCCAATTCATTTTCTAAAAATCAATATTCTATTCTTATTATAGTGGACACTTGTTTTGTTTTTTTTTTGTTTTTTAAATAGACGCCCCATTTTTATTTATTAGTGTGTATTACGTCTATTGGTCTGTGCATTCGAGTGGTTTTAGTAAAGAAAATGTTTACACTATTTACATTGTTCGGACTGATGTCCTCATCTTTATTGTCATATTCATGACGTTTCGGTCGTTGTACGCTTCGGCCTTCTTCAGGTGATATTTCCCGTAATTTTGCCAGAAACCTTTATTTAGTCCACGGAGGTAGATTGTTCTAATTCCACATGTAATGCATTTAGATATCCCAGTTTCAGTTAATTCCCCTTGGTAACTCAACTCCCCGTTTTTTTTTTCTTGCCTATTTCTGGGTTTACTGTACACTTTATATATCCTCTACTTAACATATGCAAATAGGTACAATCCTATTTATCAATCTACTACACCTCCCTGAAGCGAGGAGGTTTAATACCTTTGGTTGTTCCCGAACATCTTTTACAAACTCTTTCTTGCTCTTTCCCTTGAGGTTTATGTTCTGTTCTATTTAATAAAGATCTTAGTATCAGTTCCAAGTTTCTCAAATTCGCAGAATCTGGCTAGATTCACTTTGTCTATGAAGATATTGCATAATCAACTCATCTTGTTTCTGTTTAATCAACAGAAATGTGGTTCTTTCCGCCATGACAAGTTTTTTTTTAGTTTGTAATATTTTTTTTTATAATTTCTGAAATTTCGACGAAAGTCAAATTTTCCAATATTTTGTTGTATGCCATAACAGAAAATATCATTATAGCTTCACAATCTGCCGATCTAGAAAGAGGTTAGTTATTTCATTTTCTCCTCCTCTTGACTGGTCTTTTTTTCAGTTGTTTTAGCCCTAGCCTGGACTGCAAAACACCGGATCCAAGCCTCCACAAATTTTGGTTTATCCAAGTGACTTAAAAACCTTATCAGCGACGCCATATTGTTGTGTTGTGTTTTTTTCTACTGTGATGCGTAATCAGTATTCAAGATTTATTTTATGTAAAAAAATACAATTGTGGCACAAGGCCTAAAAGTGGGGAATTGGGATGAGACTGGTCGTTACTTACTAGCTTATACCTAAATTATCCGATTCACGACTCATTCACTCGTTACAATTTCCACATGCACCAAAATAACCTATCTATCGCCACTCAATCCTCCATATACCATAATACCTCATACACTCAGGGAATCTACAAAACGTACCCCATGGTATAAAAAAATTCATGATTATAAAAATTTTATATATAAAAATCCAACGATGATCTACAATGTGCGGGGAGGGGATGGACCACCCAAAAAATAAATATCAAAACAAACAAAATAAAGATGACTGATGTTAGTTGGACCCGTCCAACCCTCAAAAGAGAGGCGGCTATATTCTGCTTTTAGAGTGAGGGAAATGGTAAAATAAATGCGACCATAGGGAGTGAAGAAAGCTGACCCAGTCGAGATGAAAAATGAGGGGGGGGGGCAAAAAACAAATTGGGGAGGTTGGGATTCTCAACTCTGATCATAACCAAAGATGCAGCCGGGAACAGGCCGGGAAGAAATTAGTTGTCAACTTCTAGCTTGTCTTTTCGTTTACTATATATATATATTACATATCTTTTGAGCACCTCAAGATGGTGTAATGGTTAGCAAGCTTATCTCTCTAGGACAATTACGACTGAGTAGTGAGTTCAATCCTCCCTGGGTGTCCCTTACTTTCGGCCTTGTGCCACATCCAAGCTACACTTGGAAAATCACTATATTACATATCTTCTACTTAACATATGCAAACAGGTACAATCCTATTTACCAATCCAGTACACTTATTATTCGATGAGTAGAAGGAAAAACCTATTAATAATTACCTGACAATGGGCGAATCTATTGCAGCCTACAAAAGAAAACAAACGTCTGACAATTTAGATCTATAATTCTCAAAATGTTTGTTTGTGTAATCGGCTGTTTATTCATTTCTACAATTTTCATCCGATTTTGATGATTTTTTTTTGTTTGATAGATAATTCTTCAGTGCCGGTTATCGTTTTGTTGGCGACAATGGCTCTCCACTACTTCCTGTCCATTATAACTCTCAGCAACATTTTACTATTTACTATCTTGGATATATATCTTTCATAAAAACTTTAATAAAAATAAATAGTTTAAATTATAACAATAATATTATTTATTATTATACAGTTCCCTTTTCAGGGCCCCCATTCAATTGTTAACCCCCTCCATTTAGGGATGTGTCTCAGTTGCATTCAATTGTTGCTATAAATATTGATTTACGTGTGGGCTGACTTTAAACTGAAACTGCTCCAACTGGACGACAAAAATTCCTAGTAATGAATGATCCGGTCAAAGATGTGTTATATCGATTATTACATAAATTTTCTCGCCAGAATCTTGCACTTTTATAAACCTACTATCTGTCCATGCCTCGAATATTGCCGCCGCCTCTAGCCTAGTTCTTCTGCTATATATTTAGATAATCTTGACAAAATCCAAAGAAGAATTTGCAATATTATCGATACTGACTTAACATCTAGGCTTGAGTCTCTTTAACCACAGCCGTAACGTAGTTCAATTGTGCATTTTCAATAAATAATTTCATGCACTTTTATAAATCTACTATCTTTTCATGCCTCGAATATTGCTGCCGCGTCTAGCCTAGTTCTTCTGCTATATATTTAGATAATCTTGACAAAATCCAAAGAAGAATTTGCAATATTATCGATACTGACCTAACATCTAGGCTTGTGTCTCTTTACCACAGCCGTAACGTAGTTCACTTGTGCATTTTCAATAAATAATTTCATGGCATTTCTTCCGAGGAATTTTTCGCTTTCGTACCTTGACTTCACGAATTCAAATGCAGTACTTGGTCTGTAGTTAGGTCCTGATATTTTACAATTGAAATTGATAGATGTGACTCTAAGCTATCTGTTAATAGATTCATCTCTAGATTGTAAAAAACACCTGTCCAGACCTCTTGCCTTCCTGTCAGCTACGATCTTCCCAAAATACAACGTCAATCATCCTCTGACACTTTCAAATCCCGTTCTTTTATTGTCCTCACAACAATTTCTGGGGTTCTTTCACTCTCAGTAACTTTTATCGTCTTGCTTCGGTTGAAAAGATTAAAAATAAAAAATAAAATACAAAAATAAAATAATAAAGCAGCAAAAAAATCGCAATCGAGAGAAGGAAAAGAAATAATTAATTTAAGAATAAAAGAAAATAAATGTTGTAAAATAATCTTTGATTGCACATGTAGCCATTTTGAGATTTACCTAATTTTGGTGTTTCAATAAAATGTTTTTTTATCAGTTAAAACTAACACTCGTTCATACATAGCGAAATAAAATTCTAACACACACACACATATATATATATATATATATATATATATATATAAATATATGAAGTGTGGCATTTAGTTCTAACGACCCCAGTCTATCAAACTGCACAAGTAATAAAAATCCTAGGCCCTTTCACAACACAAGTTAACCCTTGCTACGGTTCTGTCAAAAGGAAAAAAAAGAGAAAGAAGAAAGTTGATGTCTGCTCTGAAAACCGATAGCACTGGTGTGTGCTAAAATTACCAAACCATGCACTTAAATCACTCGGCCTTTACTTGCTTATCTTTACCTACATTTGATGGGAGAAAAGAAGATATGAAAAAAAAGGAAGAAGGAGAAAAACAAGGATGGAAAAGTAAAAGAGAGAAGTGTAGGCGGAAAAAGAAAGTAAGGAAAATAAGAAAGACTAAGAGACAACAGCGAAATGATAACATTTATGACGACAACAAAGAAAGAAAGAAAGAATGAATGAATGAAAAAAAGATTAAAAAAATGAAAATGAAAAGAAAAATAAAAAAAAGAAAAAAGTTGAACGTGAAATAAAAAAAAATGACTGAAGCAAAACATGGTAAGAAAATAAGCATGCAAAAAAAAAGAATGAAGCAAGGAAAGAGAGTAAAATATTGCAAAAGAAAGAAAGAAAGAAAGAAAGAAAGAAAGAAAATTAAAAAAGAAGGCAAGAAGGTGAAATAAATAAAAATAAACTAAAACAAAGCAAGGAGAATATAAAGACAAAATAAAAAAAGAAAGAAACTTGAAAGAAATATAGAAGGAAAACAAAAACTGTGACACAGATAAACTCTAAACGGAAAAAATTGAAAAGAAAGAAAGAAAAAAATGAAGAAAGAAAAAGAAAGAGAAAATAGAAAGACAGAAAGAATAAATGAATGTCCAAAGGAAGAAAGGAAGGAAAGAAAGTAAAAAAACAAAAAGAAAGAAGGAAATATAGAAAATTGAAAAAAGAAGAAGGTGAATGCGAAAAAGATAAAATGAAAGAAAGAAAACAAAACAAGGAAAATACAAAAGTAAAATAAGAAAAAAAAAAGTGAACGAAATACAAAAAAAAGACAAATGTGAACGAAAATGTGAAAGAGCGAAACACGAATAAAGGCTAAATGAAGGAAAATTGAAAAGAAAAACTGAAGAAAAAGGAACTGAAAATAGAAATAAAAAAAGGAAAACTAACAATTGTGAAAGACGGAATCGCAAAAGCAAGCAAACAAAGAAGGTAAGTAAAGGCATTTAAAGAGAAACAAATAAATGAAAAAAAAGAAGAGAAAAAGAAACAAAGAAAGGCAGTAATGCGAATGTAGAAGATATTTGCTAAGTTTGGACAAAAGAAAACTAAGGCAGAGTTTGCGTTTAAAGTAACACAAAAGGAGAGAAAGAGTCGAATAGGAAGGACAACGAAATGAATGTTAAAAAAAAAAAATTAAAAAAAATTGCCCCACCCAGAAATGGCGGCAAAAGACGGTAAAATGCCAAACTAATGGTCATATAAGACAGCGGGAAAAGAGAATTCGACAGGGCGGTGGAATATTGCAGAAAAATAAGTCCGAGGTCACAATGTGGCCTTCTTCTGAAATTCGTTTTAAGAGGTCATAATGTTCCCAGCTTGACAGGCAGGTGTAGTTTATTCTGTTGACGCAGATCTGGCATGTGTAATGGGGAGGAGCTTATCATCCGATTTGTTTAAGCAAAAATATATGCAAATGATTGAATTTAATTCAATGGAAATGTTAATAAAAAAAAATGATATTGAAATTTATAAGTTTCAATCAACAACGAAATAAAAATACCTCTGAGTATATTGAAGTCATATAAGTTATAAAATATGTGAGTTGTGGTGTAACGGATATCGACTCGGAATGCGAAATCGATGAGCCGAGTTCGAATTCTAGTCGAATTAGTTACATTCACTTACGCTTGGAAAAGTTATGAATCCATTTCTTCCCTCCTCCAACTATGGATTAAATAGCAGGACAATTTATCACAGAAAGAATTAGCAATCTACAGCTAGAAAATCTTCAAAGGCTCTCTTTCAACATACCTTGATCCAGCATGAGAATGTAGGTTCATAAAATTAACATGAGAATAACATCTCATATTGATGCGGTGTAAATGTATTTTTAATATGCGTGTGTGAGCGTATGTATGTGCGTGTCTTGCACAAACACACACCGGTCTGTTTATTGAAGAGACTTCATAATGAAAATATGCCATATTACATTCCCCTTATATTGGGGAAACCCCCTTTCGACCCAGCCACGAAACACTTCACAGTAAAGAAAAGTTCAATAAGCCCTTCTAAGGAATGCACATCTCTCATTGCAACCTTTCGAAATCCATATCTGCTAATATTATTTTCGTATCCGAAACTTACATAATGTAAGGGCGACAAGATTTTCGGACAACCCCGTATATTGAAGAACCGAATTCCAATTCCAATCGGGCTCGTTATATTTATTTACGCGCAAATACCATTGGGAAATGAATTAATCAACGTCTTCTTCCCCAGCTAGGGGTTAATTTGTCGGATTTGTGTCAGTAAATTATCATTATCTCAAAAAATGTCTTGCTATCTAAAAATATGTTCTGGCTTTAAATAATTTCTAAGGAATCACCGTATGCTAAGACGCATTTTCTCCTGAAAAATGCTCTGAAATCACCCTGCGTCTTAGCACTGAATTATCAACTTATAGAGGAGAGTTCGCCAACCCTCACAACAAACAGCAGCCGTCTCTTCTACTCCAATAGCTTCATGTCTCGCACCTCTCGCCTGTGGAACTCCCTTCCCTATTCCAGTTTCCCTGAGAGCTATAATCTTCAACTATTCAAATGTAATGTCGATCGACATCTCCAGTTGCCTTGATCTATCCACTATCCTTCTCCTCATCCTTTCCTCTATCACTCCTATCTGATCTTGCTCCAAATCTTCTGTAACCCCTTGCGTCCTAGTGGCTTCTCGCCTTGCTTGGGGTGAAACACTTAAAAAAAAAAAAAGAAAAAAAAAAGCTATATAAGCCTACAATTACCATTCATATGTAATAAATACCGTATATTCTGTTAATGTCATATATATTGTTTTTTTGTTTGTTTGTTTTGTTTTAGTTTTTTTTTTTTTTTTTTTTTTTTTTTTTCGAATACTGATGATAATTATTAGGCAGTTTCCTACCGGCACTATAAGTCTTTTATTCATCTATGCATACCATATTTTATCTTCACAAACCTCCAACCCGGCCACGTAATAAAGACTGACAGTTAAGTTTCATTGTACACCACAAATGTCAGCCTTATTACCTCCCTTTGTATACTATTAAAAAAAAAAACGATTTTCCTCAATAGGCCTACAGTTAATTCCAAAAGTTTTTGTAAAATCATTTCAGCCTAAGCATGACGATAATACCACTAAGATACATGGGGTTACTCGGAATGACAGAGAATGAAAAGACTTTGGGAGAAGGAACCGGAAACTCAATCTTAAACAGGAATCAAATCTCTATTCCTGTTCAAAGAAACGAGAAACGTGTCTGGACGGGTGATAGGCGAAGCTATCTACTCCATAAATCTACTGTAATGATACGAGTGGAGAGTCAATAATATATACGTACATTAACAGCGGACTAATCTAAGTAGTAATAACCACAGATATTTAATAAGAGGTCTAATATGGAAACACATGTTGTGACAGAAAGAAAAATGTCCCCGTAGAGTAAGGGTGACATAGTAATAAGTTAATCTAGTAAATCCTCAAATAGTCTCCCCACAAAATACTTCGCTAATTATAGGATGCGTCTTACCACTTGTAGCGTCTTAGCATCAGGCAAATACCATATGGATTTCATTTATAATCCCGCATTATTTCTTATTACAATATGCATTATATTTAGTGGATACAGGCTTACACACACACACACACACACACACACACACACACACACATATATATATATATATATATATATATCTATATAAAGACATGTTTTGTAGTACAGTTTATATATATTCTGTCTACTCATTTTCGTTAAGATCCTTTCATACTTTCGGATAAGTTTTTGATGTCATTATTGAAAGACGAAAGAAAATCACCGTGTTTATACATATTTGTTTTATTACCAAGTACTTTCGACATATCAATGTCATCCTCAGGGTATTTTTTTATAATAAAGTAAGCACTATAGTATCCATTATTGTCATTATTATTACTATAACACATAAAATTGTTACAGTTCCTATCTCTTTAACGGGGTCTGTGTGGTGTTCATACCAATTTCTTGCAGTTTCCTTTCCGTAAGTGTTGCAGATTTTCCAGTGCAGATATTGACTCACTCTATCGTGCCGTGTTTTATATGTGAATACCATGCAACCTGATACACGATCTTCAATTCTTTCTGGATATTTATCACAGAATCTGCATTTTGGACTAACAATTTTTCAGTATTTTTTCAGAGTTATTATAATTATTATTATTAATTTCAAATTGTGATGATTATAATGCTATGATGAGTTTTTTTTGCTGTCTGAAATAACATGACTATTAGACATTAATGTATCTACTTAATTCTGATCACGTCCTCCTTTAACCTGGATATTAACTTGTTCAGCATTTTAAGGAAAAATGTATTTCTACGTCAACCTATCGGCTCATATTTAATTCTTCCTTCTTTTCTTTCTCTCCCTCTCTCACCCTCTCTCTCCTCCCCTCTATCACTCTTTCCCCCATCTCTCTCTTTCTCTCTTCCCTATTTTTTTTTTAATTTTTTATTATTTTTTTCTTTTTCTTTCTTCCTCTTTTATTATAAAAAAAGTTTTTCTTTTTCTCCTTTGACTTTTCCTTTAGTCTGAACAAATTGATTTCAGTTCTAAAAAAACAACTTTGGTCTGAAGAGATCAATATTTAAATATATTCATGAAATAAATTATAACCGAAATGGATTGTCTTTATATATATATATATATATATATATATATATATATATATATATATATATAATACCAAATGGTAATTGGTCGGGGTAAATCCTAGGAGGACATTAATCCAATTATATATATATATATATATATATATGTGTGTGTGTGTGTGTGTGTGTGTGTGTGTGTGTGTGTGTGTGTGTGTGTATGAAGATCTGAAACATACTAGTAGAAAATACAAGCATAATAACCTCATCCACATGTAAAAAAAAGATTAAAAATAATGGAAGCCTTGATAATAAAAAAGAAAAGGCCAACACTCAGCAATATTAACTGAGAACACAGTCACAATGTGCTGACTGTGTTCAGAAAATAAAACATCCCTATAACTCTAGATACATATACAACCCATACATCCAGTTAAAAAGTAAAAATAAAATCACCCTTGATAATGGCTAAAAGTATAGCCGAAAACGCTAAGAATTACAGAACATTTGGGCAGTTTCTACACACTCATGTCCAGAAAAGAAAATACTCGTTCGAAATCAAGAAAAATTACATAAAAAAATGAATCGCAGTATTTTGTCTGTCGTCTTTAATGAAACCTGTATAAAAGAGGAATTGTTGCCCAAATACACAATGTATGTAGATGCATAACACGCACACATGCATCATAATATGTATCATTTTATGATCATATTTTGTATATGCAGTAGGGAAATAGATATAAACATAGATATAGCGAGACGAAAGGAATTTGTGATCAAAGGTGTCGTCCCTATATTCAATAACATAATGCGATTATATGAATATTACATACATTACAGTGACCAACTAAGTACATGTTACCGGATGCTGATGTGGATTTTGTTAGACAACCTACAAATATAAATATGATCAATACAATAGTTTTTGACTGGCAAATATGCTGAATGTATCGTACTGGCTTCCTTTCGAGTGAACAGCTCTTGGGGGCACTGAAGTGGAATGATACAATCAATAATAGAAAAAATAGATCATCGTGAAGGGAGCCCATACTTTTTTAAATAAGGGAACTATGTTATTTTTATCGAGATGTTTTAGGAACTTAAGATGCGAAATTAGCTCCTCAGTGGATGAAAAATCGATGGGAAATGTATTTCTTGCTGAAGTGATACTTGAAGTGTGGGAAATGCTCAGAAAGACATTGGAAACTTTGGTTAAAAGATGAACACATTGATCACTCTTCTGTAAGATTATCTGT